ATCAGTAGCCACAGACTGTTCAACCAGTCAAACTTATCAGTAGCCACAGACTGTACAACCAGTCAAACTTATCAGTGCCACAGACTGTTCAACCAGTTAAACTTATCAGTAGCCACAGACTGTTCAACCAGTCAAACTTATAAGTAGCCAAAGGGACGTTCAACCAGTTAAACTTATAAAGTAGCCACAGACTGTTCAACCAGTCAAACTTATCAGTAGCCACAGACTGTTCAACAGTTAAACTTATCAGTACCCACAGGACTTGTTCAACCAGTCAAACTTATCAGTCCACAGACTGTTCAAAGTTAAATTTATCAGTAGCCACGACTGTTCAACAGTTAAACTTATCAGTAGCCACAGACTGTTCAACCAGTCAAACTTATCAGTAGCCACAGACTGTTCAACCAGTTAAACTTACAGTAGCCACGGGACTGTTCAACCAGCAAACTTATCAGTAGCCACAGCTGTTCAACCAGTTAAATGATCAGAGCCACGGGACGTTCACCAGTCAAACTTATCAGTAGCCACAGACTGTTCATACCAGTTAAACTTATCAGTAGCCACAGACTGTTCAACCAGTTAAACTTATCAGTAGCCACAGACTGTACAACCAGTCAAACTTATCAGTGCCACAGACTGCTCATCCAGTCAAACTTATCAGTAGCCACAGACTGTTCAACCAGTTAAACTTATCAGTAGCCACAGACTGTTCAACCAGTCAAACTATCAGTAGCCACAGACTGTTCAACCAGTAAAAACTTAAACAGTAGCCACAGACTTACAACCAGACAAACTTATCAGTGCCACAGACTGTTCAACCAGTCAAACTTATCAGTAGCCACAGACTGTACAACCAGTCAAACTTATCAGTGCCACAGACTGTTCAACCAATTAAACTTATCAGTAGCCACAGACTGTTCAACCAGTCAAACTTATCAGTAGCCACAGACTGTACAACCAGTCAAACTTATCAGTAACCACAGACTGTTAAACCCAATTTAAAACTTTTTCAGTACCCACAGACTTTTTCAACCAGTCAAACTTATCAGTAGCCACAGACTCTACAACCAGTCAAACTTATCAGTAGCCACAGACTGTTCAACCAGTCAAACTTATCAGTAGCCACAGACTGTACAACCAGTCAAACTTATCAATGCCACAGACTACAACCAGTCAAACTTATCAGTAGCCACAGACTGTTCAACCAGTCAAACTTATCAGTAGCCACAGACTGTTCAACCAGTCAAACTTATCAATGCCACAGACTACAACCAGTCAAACTTATCAGTAGCCACAGACTGTACAACCAGTCAAACTTATCAATAGCCACAGACTGTTCAACCAGTCAAACTTATCAATGCCACAGACTACAACCAGTCAAACTTATCAGTGCCACAGACTGTTCAACCAGTCAAACTTATCAGTAGCCACAGACTGTTCAACCAATTAAACTTATCAGTAGCCACAGACTGTACAACCAGTCAAACTTATCAGTAGCCACAGACTGTTCAACCAGTCAAACTTATCAATGCCACAGAGTGATAAGTATGACCAACTTATCAGTGTTCACAGAAGAATAAAATCCACAATACCATAGGTGGAATAATTTACAAATATTCCACAATTTCAAGATAAACCTTGCGACGATGTTCGCTCCGTCCTGGAAGATTATCAAAGTTACAATTTTGAGTTAACAATATTGAAAGACGGACCCCTTGCAGCCACAAGTGAGTACAAGCATCATCAGAATGATTTTTTATAGTCATTGATAAGTGCCATGCAGTGGCTGGGGGATGGCATGGATTAGAGCAGTGGTCCCCAACCTGTTGTCCGTGGACGCCTCCGCAAAGGTAATACTGGGGGTCCGTGAACTAGGTTCAAAATTTCAAAGCAGCATCAATCATCATGTTAAACAAGTAAGTTTTTTTTAAATGCTGCCATTTAATTGCATACTCAGTTACGTATGTCTTTCAGTCGAGAGATGAAACAGGAAAGACGTATTTGTTGTTAATAAAATCTGCTTATTGAGTAGACAGACCTTTCAGAAATCTGGGGTCCGTGTGAAAATGAATTTAAAAGTGGCCCTTTGTAGTGAAAAGGTTGGGAACCACTGTGTTAGAGGGTTGGGACACAGTCTGATGCGAGATGGTACCTTCAGTTCTTTGAATCAAGAGCCCTTCATTAGAATGGATATCATTATCGGGGATACGCAGAGCAGATGTGAGCATCTGGCAGTTGCAGGTGCTGCTGCAGGTGGCACTGCGGTTACATAAACGTCAGATAAACACCTGTGTCATCCGTCCAAGCTTGATAAGCATCACTACCACCAGTGCTACTACCATTACTACCAGTCGTTGATTTATTATAAGTGTAGCGCTGCAGCTTCGACTTAACTGATACCACTGGAAGCACAGCTGCTGAGTTAGCATCTGCAACTGCATCCTAGTGAGAATACAAGATTCACTACAGGGACGGCATCTAGCTGGGTATCCGGCTACAGTGATTTTTTTCAGCATGCGAGGGCCTCCATCAGGTGGTGGTGGTGGCGCCTCCATCCGGCCACCTGCCATCTTGGAAATTACAAAAAAAAAAAAAATGTAGAGATATTTGCATGTTAGTGAGTATATTAAAGTCACTGATAAATGAGAAACTTGTGCGACATTTGGGTATCTTTATTGGGTATGTTCGGAATAACGATACCCAAATGTTGCACAAGTGTCTCATTAACTTGACGGTTTTCTAAAGTTTATTCACACTGAAGTCACTGCATTTTCTAGCAAATGGTATTAATGCGGGTAGAATTACCGACAATATGTAAAGTAAAAGGACATAAGTGCAACTAATGTGACATTTTATTGCGGCAACGTTTCGCTCTCCAGGAGCTTTGTCAAACTTCATAAAGCTCCTGAAGAGGGAAACGTTGCCATAATAAAATGTCACAGGAACGGCTTGACAAAGCTCCTGCAGAGCGAAACGTTGCCACAATAAAATGTCACATTAGTTGCACTTGTGTCCTTTCACTTTACATACTAGCAAATGCTAGGACCAACTTAATGCTGAACTACTGGAATTAGTCGACATTATATAAAGTTGCTCTGTGTACACTGCCGTAGTTCAAGCAATATGTTCCAAATTTTGTCAAACTGGATTAGTAATTTTATCTAGGTACAGGTACGCATAAGTACAATTATCATACATAGTTTAATATATGTGTTAATTACCTAGGATAACCCAAAAGAGTTAAAGTATTACCATTAGGGCTTCCATGGGTTGATAAGCAAGACACATGTCCAACAGTTAGGTATCTTTATTCTCAAACGTTTCTCCTAAAAAAGCAATTGCAATTTGTATATCTTCTACCAATAATTCAGAGTCATGTACCTATATATCTGTTATATCTATGTGACTCTGATGGGTTAGTATTATACCCCTTCAAGAATTTTCCATTATTTCACATACACTTTTTAAATTGCACCAAAGTGGTTGTGTCACTTCCCTTTTACAATCGCTCACTCATTTGACCATAAACAGAAATATTGATCTCAGTCTTAAAATAATGAATCCTGTGATACTCCAATACTGAAACTATATACTGTGCCAAAACAAAAGCATTCACATTGCTAAACTCACAAAATAGTATTTAGTCACTTAGCCATAATACCAACTTACCTCATAATTTGTAATATTTTACATTTAAGAATAAAACTAAGTATGCCCGAAATGCCTAGCCATGCTAAGCGTTCTAGTGGTACACTCTGTAATCTCAATTTTACTACGTGTAAACCAAACAATAACCAAATTTCTGTAAACTCAGCATTGTAATCCTTATAGAGAATAAACTTTGAATTTTATATCCTACCTCACTCCCCCCTCCCACCCTTTTCCAATATTTCTATCCTTACCCATCCTTCTTCCTTACCCACCTTACCAAAGACTCTGGTCATAAGAATCGAATCGAATCTCCTACACAGTAGCTTCTTCAGTCGAGTACAGAAGAGTCAGCACGACAAGAGAGGCGGAGCCCACTAGTAGAATAATGTAATCGTTGAGAGGGTAGGTCCCTCTCAAATCCATCCCTGACAAAAGCCATTGGGAACTTCTTTCTTCATAAATTCTTGCTTCCAGTATTATTGTCTTTCTTTATTTACCACTTCCTTATTTTCTGTCATCTTCGATCTTTCATTCCTTCCATCCCTTCTCACTTGTAATTAGTGGTCAAGCAAAAAAAAAAAAAAAATTATGTAAGATGTCCCCTAAACTGAACTACCTTTGTGTTGTAGTGTGACAGAGTGAATTCTTCCATGGGTTATTAGTAAAAAAGTATTTAAGTACAGGTACACATTAATACAATTATCATACATAGTTTAACATACGTGTAAATTACATAGGACAACCCAAAAAAGCCAAAGTGACTTATTTTCAATGGGATGCCTCTGTATAAAAATCATGTTGACGGCGGTTCTAATTAAATTACTGTGAATGATTTAAAAAAAAATGTTGAGGGTTACAAAGAAGGCTGGATTTTCACATGTTGAGGACCTAGGCTGCATCAGACTTAAGAGGCATTAAATAATAATATGTTAAGAGGCCAGTTACCCTTGAAGAGTTGATAGGTGTTCAGTCACTTAACCTTGAAGAGTTGATAAATGCTCAGGTCTTAACCTTGATTAAAGGTGAAGGAACGTGAACACCTGCAATGAAAGTGTAAAGGGTTAAACACCTTCAATCAACGTGTAAGGGATCGAACACCTTCAGTCAAGGTGTAAGGGATCGAACACCTTCAAGTTACCTCTCCACTTCTTCCATGTCTCCAGTATAAAAGTCACCTCTGTAGTCGACCGAGCCTGCTACTCGGTCGAAACGTTTCGACACTAAAAATACCAGAGCTGTACATGTGTCTTATTCTTGAAACTCAACACTGAGCGAAACATCGTAAGAATACAGACTTGCATACTGTGTGTTGAAGAATGTGAGGTGAATCAGTGCCCACTCTTCCCCAGGCCGCAGCGGACCAACTTGCCGCCCTCATCCTTCAACAGATTCAGACGAAACTTCAATGACGAGTAAGTAGGTTCACTTAGTCGCAATATCCACTTATATATACAGAGATATACTGCAATCATTTATCAGAGATATGCCCGAGTAATATAGATATACCATGGTCACATACCAGAGATGTAATGTCACAGCAATATACCAGTTATACACCACCATCATATACCTGAGATGTTACACTTTAGTCATATAAGAGATATACATGAGAGATATGTCAAAGACGTTGTATTCCTGTCATACACTAGATGTATACAAAACAAGATTTAGCCTACCATGTTTATAATGGTCTTGTTAGCCCGGCTTTTCACATCACTAACCCGACACGTTACTTACTTTATTCCTTGCGTGAATTTCCTCATGTGAATTCTTTATGATTACATTACCAGGTGACCCCGTGGAAGAACCTCTAAGTAATTGCTTGATTTTTTCCTTTTTGCTTTATTTTTCTTCATCCAACTTTTCGTTTTTATTTCACTTATAACATAAGATTTCAACTGACTGACTTCAAATTTTCAACGTTAGTGTACGGTAACTAGGGCAAGATTCTTAGAATAATTGGCATGTGCATGTGCCCTATGACCAAAGTTGTTGGACCCATTCCCAGTCTCTTAGAATGGCTCTGATAGCTTCCCAAACCCTCTGTTCCTTTGCTTAAAAATTTCTTGAAAGCTGCCTCCTAATTCGACGACGACAGAGAGTGAACTTCAAGTGTAAATGCTCACATCTTCCAGTTGTATGTGTTGAAGAGTGTGAAGTATTTATTACCGTTAAACCACGTTAAATATATCTGAATCTGCCTCGTTTGAATGACTACATTAATCAGTGGCTGATGCATTTTATGGTTAGGATATTACCCAGCAAGTTTAGTTTGTGTGTGGGTAAACTTATCATTACACTCATAATAAGTTAGCTTATTAAACTTGTCATTACACTTATACTAAATTAGCTTATTACACTTGGAATCACTGGGATCCGTGTGATTCTAGAAAGTAAGGTTCGAATTGTTATTAGGCTTCATATATATCCTAATTTGCTATTAAATAAATTGTGATACTGATTTACATTCAATAACTAGAGCAAGTCTCATCATATCGGCTCCACATTATTAATGCTGATACATTCCACATAAAAAAAACAATGACAATAAGTTTACGCAGTATGGGAGCAAATTTTAATGAAATTGTTACGAAATTTGAGATCAATTCTAACTTTCACTGTCGATGGGCTTGATTAAAATAAATTTTGGCTTTCATTTTGAGTTAGGTAAATTTTAAATTGATATTTATATTTAGTAAATTATTTTCCATATAATAATTAAAGAATGGTTTAAACACTTAAGTGCTGGTGTATTTTTAATGAAAATATTTTTGTGTTGAAGTTAGGCTGTGTAAATGCCAGTTTTAAAGAACTGTCTTAAAAAAAACACAAAATCAATTATTTTTTGGATTGTAGAGAACTTTAAATAGAATGGAAATGGAAAAAAGGCAACTGAGACATTGAAAGCTCGCATTTTTATGGTTTTTTATTTTTTTTATTTTATTTAAAATCATATGCATTACATGCATAAGTTACACATATAATGCTACGTATTTAATCATGTATTTAATAATGCATTTAATCCATCCATTACACATAACTCCTATTGCATTTAACATATATACAAACAAAGTTAATGATTGACAATGTTTTCTCGACTTTACTCAAAATTTTCCCATAACTAACACAAAATAAACTGTTATCTTGGACATTGGTTGTCATATCCTACACACCTTCACATATGCACTGTGTCCCCCCCCTCCCACTTAGTTTACACATGATATTAATATGTTCACAGAACACTACACTGCGCGTCCATGCGGACTAGATAGAAAATTCATTATTAACAATCCTTTTCAAAACTCAATTTAAACATGTTACTAATTACACACCTTGTTACACACCATAAATAGACATCCACATTAGGCCTTCTTAATCCGGGCCCTAAGGCCTATACTCATATTAGATACACATGTCCCCTAATATATTTTAGACCTTTTGGATATATTTCCATTACCTTCAAACCCAAGCTCACTTAAATATTCCTGTTCCCCCTCTAGGCTCGTTACAAAATCACTTGTACCACTAATACAATTTTATTATGTAATACCACTATCCCTGTTGCAAATACAACAGCCTGAAACTCTCCATAAATAATCCCCCAACCTTCCACATATGTACACCACAATGTTGTGAGTCTGTGACTTCAAAACATATAATTTTAACCCACAGAATCGTATAACATACCTTCACATACACATAACCAAGGCATGTAAAACATACACACACAAAACTACGTGAAAAACAAGGACACTGATGATATACATTAATATATATATATATATATATATATATATATATATATATATATATATATATATATATATATATATAATATATATATATATATATATATATATATATATATATATATATATATATTTATATGTATATATATTTAACAACCCCCTTACATATATATCATAACGTAATCCACTGTTATGTAACACCACAACCAATAGTACATGGATAAGAATACATATCCAATAACTTTCCATCATACATCATACTGCATAAATATATTCAGACTTGTACTGAAACCCTATCATCTCATATCCACACATAGTGTTCTCCTATGTACTAAACCCTATCATCTTATCTAAAATATTAATCACTGCAAGCGACACAGTTTCCCCATACCGTATATCTTCTTGTTAAGATGCCTTAAAACAAATATGCACAATTACTTTCATGTTCCTTACCACTTTTTGTTAATCTATATTTACAGTTCTTAGAACACTGATGTGCTATTTCATACACAAAATATTGACAAGTTTATAGCACCTTAAAAGACGTGGTAAGGCCCGTCTCGCACCTTAGTGGAGACACACTAATCCACTTACGTCAAGGCCAATTTCCAATAAACGTGAGATTCCAGCATTCCACAGTATTTCTTGCGCACCTCAGGACTTTCCTACGCAATCTCCTTACATCTTCTGGCAGCAAAGGATACACTTAGTATATATGAGTGTGTTAACCACAATGGCCCTCTGATGTAACGTCAAACCACTTGATCTTATTCCTCTCAACCTACGTAACGCCCCTTGCACTACCCTTTCAGAATTAGCCTCTCTAGCCCCCCCTTGCATCCCCCCTATATAACACTCCACAAATTTTCACCTGTTCTACCACCTTCCAGCCTATTCCCCATCCCCCCCCCACATACCCACCTCCAGTAATTTCGACTTTACACCATTAACACACAAACCTGTCGCTCCACTAAATATATCTATGATTCAGCCAACACTCCTTAACCCCTCCTCTCCCCCACTAAGACTGTCGTATCATAAGCATATCCTACTATACAAGTCGCACCCCTATTCCATACCCCCGTCACCCACCCCTACATTTATCATCCTGTATAAAGGATCTTGCAGACATGCAAACAGGATCTGGGACATAGGGCATCTCTGCCTCAGTCCCCGATCCATACTATCATCCCCACCCTACCATTTATTTGCACTCTGATACTCGCATCTCTGTATAATGTTTCCGCCCACTTGACAATCTATGCAGAAGGCCTACTGGCCCATGCGAGGCAAGTCCTTATCAAAACGACCTCTACCTAAAGCTACCCAAGAAATAACTCCCGTACCCAATGACACCAATCAAACCCAGCCCCTCCCACTCATATATTTGTCCAATTTCTTCTTAAAGCTACCCAGGGTCCTAGCCTCTATCACCCCACTGGGAAGACTTCCACGCATCTACAACTCTGTTAGAAAACCAGTACTTACCTATGTCCTTTCTAAATCTAAATTTATCCAACTTAAATCCATTATTTCTGGTTCTTACCTGGTTCGACACCCTCAGTTCTTTATTAATATCTCCCGTGTTTATGCCCGTCATCCACTTATACACTTCAATGATATCTCCCCTCATTCTACGCCTCTCCAGAGAGTGGAGATTTAAGGCTTTAAGTCTATCTTCATACGGGAGGTTCCTTACACAGTAAATCATTTTAGTCATTCTTCTCTGTATGTTCTCTAATGAGTCTATATCCATCCTGTAGTAAGGGGACCAAAACTGAGCAGCATAATCTAAATGAGGCCTCACTAGTGATGTATAGAGCTGTAAAATAACTTTTGGACTTCTGTTACTTATACTTCTTGAGATAAATCCAAGTAATCTGTTGGCCTTGTTGCGCACACTAAGACACTGCTGTCTTGCTTTAGATTTCTGCTCGCCATGACTCCCAAGTCCTTTTCACATTCTGTATGATAAAGCTCTACTTCACCTAGATTATAGCTTCGAGGGTTATTTTCATTACCTTACACTTATCGACATTAAACTTCATCTGCCATTTTTCAGACCAAGACATTAATTTGTCCAAATCCTCCTGGAGTTCATTGCTATCCTCCTCAGAGTGAATTATACGGCCTATCTTTGTATCATCAGCAAACTTACTCATGTCACTCGTAATCCCTTCATCAAGGTCATTAATGTAAATTATGAACAAGAGAGGGCCTAAAACTGATCCTTGTGGAACGCCACTAGTGACTAATCCCCATTCAGATTTCACTCCATTAATGATAACTCTCTACTTTCTATTGGTAAGCCATGCCTCTATCCATGCTAGAACTTTACCTCCTATACCATGAGCTGCCACTTTTCTTAAGAGTCTCTTGTGAGGTACTCTATCGAAGGCTTTACTAAAATCCAAATAAACAATATCATATTCCTTATCACTGTCAACTGCCTCAAATGTTCTATTGAAGAACGTCAGTAAGTATGCCAGGCAGGAACGACCTCTCGTGAATCCATGCTGAGATTCATTTATCAAGTTATGCTCTTCAAAGTGACGTCTAATAATGTCAGCTATAATTGATTCTAATAACTTGCCCACTATAGATGTTAGGCTTATTGGACGGTAATTTGAAGGAACGGACTTATCCCCTGATTTGAATATAGG